CCTTTGAAAGTAAAATACTAGTAATAAACATATTTAAGAGCCACCAATCTATCTATGGATATGTATAGTACTAAGCATGGAGGGAATAGCAGCAAAGGATTTATGTAGCTAACACCATATAGTTGTGACAACAGTTAGATGATGATGATCTCTGTACAACCTCTGGGGTCCAAGCACATAAGGTTCAAGCAAGGTAGCTGCCTCAATATAACTGGGCTGCTTAACCTCAAAGCTACCAAAACAGGCTAGTTTTCATTGAAGTGAACCTGGTTGAACCCAATTATTGGTTTTAGAAGTTGATGGTCACGATCTGGATGCTTATAGCTATAGGGCAGCTTGGACGTCTGTCGCCAAGTAGGTCACTTGAACTGTAAAGAAAAGGAGGAATCAGAGAACCCGGGGGGGGGGGGGGGTAATTCGGCGAGGTCGCTCCGATGCTTAAGTCAGTAACTATGATATGTGAGCTGAGAGTTGAGAAATAGGAGAGCTAGAATGCACTTAATCGGGCGTACCTGGGTCATGGGGGGGTTGATGTCCTTATATAGTTAAGCTGCCGTGGATCTCACGAAACGGCTCCGAGATCCTCGGCCTGTGTAGATGGGATCCATTTCGCTTTAGAAGGAGAGTAACGTCCATTCAATGAAGTCTACCGTTACCGTTCGATCCGAGCAGGGAGAGGATAAGGCCTGCCATTACGCTGTGTGATCCCGGGAGATTTAGAGTCCGTTGAGAAGCTTCTGGAGTCGATTACGTGTCACTTTGGTACTCGGGTGCCAAAGTGGCTTTGGTACCGAGGTGCCCGAACACCCGGGCTCTCGAACTACTAATAAGACTCTCCTTGTTTAGTTGTTGTCCTATTGTAGGTCGCGTCCACGTATCTCTTGCTTATTAGGTTGGACCAAATCACCCATTATCAATTGCCCCTACTACTCGTGCCAGGGGTCCTGACCCGGCACGTTGTCCAGGTGGTGCAGAGGGCGGATCTTTGGTCGGACCTATATGACCGCTTGGCTCAACTAGGAAATGACCCAAATCGCGTATCAGGTACACGCTGACATCACATCATTTATAAACTCCGTGGACATCAAAACACGTGCTCAACTGATTTCAATCTCGGGTGGCGTGCAACCAGTTTTCATAGGAGCCATTGGATCATCCAGATCTTGGCCGTTGATCCTCGGTATTGTGGCTATAAATAGGGGTCAAAGGGCCCATTTTCCTTGCCACAAACCACATGACTAAGTTCCTTGAGATTGCGTCCAAGTCTCCCAGCTCAGTGTCAACTATTCCCGTGTCCGGGGTCATCCTACTTTTGTCAATCTTCTTGGTGAGTTCACCTTTCCTTGTTTCCAATTTCATTGTCCTATTCCTTTAGCTCAGCATGTCTAGTGTTAGTTTAGATAGCCTTTTAGATGGGAGTGGTGAGTCCCATTGGGGCCGAGGTGGGCACCTCGGCGCAGGCCGCGGAGTCCTGTCCTACCGAGGTGGATACCTCAACGTAGGATGTGGACTCCTATCCGTCCGAGGCGGACTCACCTCGGCAAGAACGCGAGGCTTCTGGCAAGTCATCCTCCACTTCGCGTCGGGGTCGATCGCCGGACAGCTTCAGTCTGTCCTCAATGATAGCCGATAGGCTCTTATGCCTAGTAGCTCGGTATAGGTTTCCAGATAACCTTGTGTATATCATTCCTTGGGACAATTTTCCTTTGGATCACGACCATGACGAGATTGTGGTTTTCGAGGAGCAGTTCGTAACTGGGCTGTGTTTCCCACTTCACCCGTTCATAGTCGAGATCGTCAAATTCTTTGACGTCGCCATAGACTAGCTCCATCCTAATTTGATCTGTAACATTGTAGGTACCATCTTCCTTTTCCACAATCTTATCCATAAAGAAGAATTCAGCCTATGTTCTCCCCGAGCATAGGCGAAGTTATTATATGTCTCCTCGCCTCGGGTACAAGCTGTTGCATGAGCTCCCAAACAAAGTCTCGGCCTGGAGGAGGCGCTACTTGTAGTTCGTAACACTGCGGGGTGGCCATTTCCAACCCACTGGAGGCCTGCAATTTAGGACCCTAGTGTCAGATTGGACCAAAAGACGCACGATCTTGGGCGAAGCTCGGGCTGAAGTTCGAGAACTTCGTGACCGAAGAGAAGCTCATACAAGCTAGGCTAAGTTCTCCTAGTAGGTTGTCATTAGAATTGCCATACTTGCTTTCTTCGTCTTGTTTTATTTCAATCTTGAAACTTACCCTGTTCATTACCTTTTGCATCTGCCATGGTTGATATTCCTACCGATGAGCTCTTCAGGAGCATGAAGAAGGGGAAAAAGAAGAGGGCCTCCAAAAAGTCTCGTCTCCATGAAGGCACCACCACTTACAGTTGTTGAGCACCCGCCAGTCATCAACTTGGTCGAGGAGGACCAAGGTAAAGCTTCTCCGCCCCACCTGCCTAAGGAGACCACGTCATTCGAGCCTCAGCACTCTTTGGCGGCCACCCCTTGAGAGGTTACACATACGGGGCAGCTCAGAGTATCTTGACTCTGAAGTTCGGTCTCCTCAAGAGCAAGGGCGTGGTCTTTGCCGAGGAGGTTGCTCATTGGGATGATCTACCGGTAGCTCAACTCGGGGCCAGAGCGGTAATTCACTACATGGTGGTATGTACCTGACCTTTGGACTATATTCTTCGTAACTTTTTCTCCATACTTAGATTTTGCTTCTTCTTTTGGTAGGTGAACTCCGCGATCCATTCCTTGGCCTACCAGTCCGAGGTGAACCTGAAGTGAGCTCTGGAGGCCAAGGAGTCTTCTCGAAATGCTCGTGCCAAACTGAACTTAACTCACAGCGAAATCAACAAGCTGCAAAAGGATGAGCGAGCTAAGAAGGAATTGTTGACTTTGCTGATGGCGTAGAAGAATGAGCTGGAGGAGTGAGAGGAGGCTCTCAAGAGGGGGAACGAGAACCTCGAAGCGCTTGTGAAGGGGCGGACTGACATTCTGCTCGGGGCGATAAAGGAGGCCAAGGTCAAGGTAGTTGAGGAGTACAAGTCTCCGGTGGGGCAGCGTGAGTTGTTGGTCTAAGCTGGAACAATGGGCTACCGTAAGGGCTTCAAGCTCAACAGATGGTTGACCTGGCGTGAATTTCTCCATCTCGACCTTAGTGCTATCACGGCGTTAAAGATCACCATGGAGATGGCCGTTGAGGTTGCTAATGACCCAGACTCCGAAAAGGAGAAAGATGAGGAGATTGTGCCGCCGAGGATCGCATGGAGACCGACCAGCCTACTAATGCTTCCGGTGGAGACGAGGAACCCTAGATCGGGGAACCCCAGGTTGAAACCCTATTGGGTGGTCTGTGGCACAGATAGTGATGGGAACCCCGAAGCTGTCAAGGGGATAGTGAACTGACCGATGGTCACCGAGGAACCTTGGGGAATGGTTGTTTTTGCTCTTGGCCCCCTGTGACGTTCATGTCGAAGCCCTTTCCGGTATTGCTGGAAGATGCCATTGAGAGTGAGATTGAGACTGAGATTGAAATGACCTTTCGATCTTTTCCCACAGACGACACCAATTGATGGTGCGCGATCTGGATGTTTCTAGCTGTATGGCAGCTCGGACGTCTGTCACCAAGTAGGTCGCTCGAATTGTAAAGAAAAGGAGGAATCAGAGAACCCGGGGGGGGTAACCCGGTGAGGTCACTCCGATGCTTAAGTCAGTAACTATGATATGCGAGTTGAGAGTTGAGAAATAGGAGAGCTAGAATGCACTTAATCGCGCATACTTGGGTCTTGGGGGGGTTGATGTCCTTATATAGTTGAGCTGTCGTGGATCTCACGAAACGGCTCCGGGATCCTCAATCCGTGTAGATGGGATCCGTTCCGCTTTAGAAGGAGAGTAACGTACCGGTCAATGAAGTCTATCATTACCATCCGATCCGGGCGGGGAGAGGAGAAGGCCTGCCATTATGCGGCGTAATACCGGGAGATTCGAAGTCCGTTGAGAAGTTTCTGGAGTCGATTACGTCACTTTGGTACTCGAGTGCCGAAGTGGCTTTGGTACCAAGGTGCCCGAACACCCGGGCTCCCGAACTACTAACAAGGCTCTCCTTGCTGAGTTGTTGTCCTGCTGGCAAGTCACGCCCATGTGTCTTTTTCTTATTAGGTTGGACCAAATCCCCTCATCAGAAGTATTAAAAGAACAACAAATATCATCAAAGGGGGGAACCAACTAGTCAAGCAAAATAACCGTGCAATTCTTTTAGAATTGTTTGACTACAAATACTACTCTTTTTAGTTATTATCTTCCCCTAAAAGTGATTATTTGAGAAGTCCCCAAATTCCAGATTTCCTTAAATTTGATTAGATAATTCAATGGTAAATCCCAACTGTTTGTTTCCACGGTGGAAAGTTTTAGTATGATAGCTACTTATACCTTGCAAGTACTTATCACTACAACAAATCCGCCGCTATATATTAAAAAACCCGCCACTATAGGTATTTAGCGATGGATTAGCGGCAAAAGCCTTTCCGCCGCTGTATGCACCGTCGCTATAGGTTCTAGCGGCGTTTATAACAACCGCCACTATAAGTCATCAATAGCGGCGGAAAATTTGCTATTGCGGCGTATATATCCGTTGCTAAAAGACTATTTAATTGTCATATAGCGGCAGATATATCTGCTGCTAAAAGCAAACATTTTAGCGGCAGGTATATGCACCGATGAATGCTTAACTAGCAGCGGATATATGCATCGCTAAAAAATGATATCTGCCGCTAAAAGCACTTGTTAGAAAAAAAAAAAAACAAAAGTTTTAGCGGCGGATATATGTGCCACTAAAAAAAATAATATTCGCCGCTAAAGCTCCTGTTCAAATTTATCCAACCTGATTAACCGAGATACATTTACAATTTATCCAACCTGATTAACACCTAAAACATCACACCAAAATTTCAAATAAAATTTAATAAAACTAAACTATTAATTAAAAACAAATGTACATCTTAATGTGAGTTCCGCATAATAATGATGTGGAAAATGTACAAAATTCTTGTTACATATAATAATAATTCAAAAAAAGATTGTATCTTCAATATCTTCAACAAAGCCTTCTATCATTCTTGTATTGGTTCCACCTGAAAAACAAGGAAAACAAATATAAAAATTAGAGTATGCATGAGGTAAAAATTGGGAAGAGTAAGGTACGTAGGAAGCAAATTGATGTAGCCCGTACTTTATATAAGAGAGAATTAAGGTAGGAGGAAGTGATGCAAATTTTGCATCATGTAATTAAAAATGCAAATCAAAGCCACAAAACAAAGAGATGCAAAGCTGAAACAGGGTGCAAAATTTGTTTCAGGTTCATATTTACATTGAAGAAAAAGTAGCCAAAATAAATTTATTTTAAGTTAAATTGTTGTTTTCTTTTTTTTTTGTATTTCAAATAGTGAAATGGGCACCCTCATCGCAACCCTTCTAAGCTGCCACATGTCTAAATAAAAAATAGTTCAAGAATCAAAAGGGTAAAAATCATCCTAGCCTTTGGATTTTATTAACAGGTGATCACATAGATGAGATTATTATATGGTGATGGATCCATGTAAAACTGGGAGACATGATGAGTCAAGGAAAGGATGGAGCCATCTCCACCCTAAAAAGATAAAGGACATGAGATTGGAGAATTGGTACCAAATAAAAAAAGTTGTTGTTGCTGTAAGAAACATCCTACCTGGCAGCAACGATTCCAAACAAAATAAAAGCACCGTTTGATGCTGCATCTGCAGCATCGATGCCAAATATATATATTATATATTATATAGAGTTTATCCCTCTCTACACATAATTATTATCTACATAGACCATATGTACCAGTGGCTTTATACATAATTCCAAGTTTTATCCCCCTTCATAAGTACTTTACGGCCAGAAATGAGTCGGGCCAACTTGGTGTAATTTTTTATTCCAGTTTGGGCCAGTCCTGAACCCATTTTAGAATTTAGTTAGACCGGGTTTTTTTACTTTATTTTTTTAAAGATCCGGCTTTTGAAAGACTTACCAAGAATAAATATTGCTTGAGTCAACCAATAGTTGATCAAACCATCAAACCTTTCAACCCAAATAGCAGATCATGGTTTAGACATTAAGGGGTTGATTGGTAATATGGATTAATAAAATATTAAGCATTTCAATCTTTGGAGACCCACCATGTGGAATGGTTTTTAAAAACGTTAATGTTATATTGATAATGTGGATGCTTTTGTCAAATAAAATTTTCTATAACATACCTTGAGAATTTATTATAAAACTTTACATAAATAATTGCATCTAATGTATCATGGATTGGTTCATAAATTTAAACATAAATGATAAATTGAGAGATGGCCTAGTTTAACCTACACTATAATGTTGACCAAATTTAGATATATCTCAAAAGAACTGATTTTCACGGCAGAATGGATTGATCCATGAGATTTAAACATAGACAATACATAAAGAGATGGCTTTCAATCTACACCATAGTGTGTATATCAAATTGAGCTAAAAGAACACTACTTTCACTGTGGCATAGATTTTTTTTTTTTTTTTTCTTTTTGGTATTTGGTGATACACGCAATTCCGCCATAGGAGTCATTGAGTAATGCAGCACCACAATAATAATAATAATGTCCCCTCCCCAAAGTCAGTGGTTGTGGGAATCAAACCTGCATCTATGCTGGAACAGACCTGTTAACGTACCAACTAAGCCACCCCTCAATTGCCACTGTGGAATGGATTGGTCCATAGACTAAAACGTAGATGATAAATAAAGAGGTGGCCCAATTCAATCTACAAAGAACACTGTTTTATACCGCAGAGTGAATTGGAATGAACTGAGAAATGATATTTTCAAATGAATCATACTACCAAACCACTCCCAAAGTCTTTTTATCTATAATTTTATGGGAGAATGACCAATCAGCCCAGATCAGAATTTTATAGCCCCAAAGTACAGGGGGAATGCATCCTGACCATGAATTGATGCCAAATTCATGGACAGAATGTGGTTTATAGGGGGGGAGAGGGCTAGTAG